CAGGAGAGGCACGGATGGTGGGCGGATTATCCGGGCGCGATCACACCCCAACATCTGGGAAGTGGAGCGCACCCGTGGCTTACCGCCGACAATGCGGATTTAAAAACTAGTACCTCCAAGGTACTAGTAAACGTTTGCCACGGGCTGCCTCCAGATGCCCCTGGTGTGATCGCGCCGGCGCGTGGCATTCCCCTCCGGTCCCTCGTTTACCCGCTGGCACGGAGGGAAGGACCCATGCTGTGCCACCGGTGTGTTTGATCGCATAATCGCGAATCAAACTGGGCCGGGGCAATTAGCCACGCCTCCCCCCGCGATATCCGGCCCGTGTGCCCAGGGCCTGGGATTGTTACCCTCAAAGTGGCCACTTTTTTCTTTTCGTCAGTCAATTTAAGGAAGAAATTAGTACCCGCTGATTCTGCAAGAATTCTACCTAAATTGTAATACCATGTAATCTTGGGGATGGGTTGTTGCACTTATTTCTCACCATTTTAGCTTTAAACTTTTTAAGTTGTTTTCCTGTTATGTAGAAATTTTTCATCCTTCTGTTGTGGCAGACTGTTACATGTTGGTATATAGGCTAGGATGTTATGGCCTGTGGCTGCAACAGTAACAGTAAACTAACAGACTACAAGGAGATCAGAAACAAACTGGGAGTCATGGAAAAAATCTTGGACCCAAGGTTTTGTGAGGTCCATCTCTCTAAGGACTAAGGATCCGTCATCTCTGGACTATGGAAGTCATCGAGCACCATGTTTGAATTTAGGATTTTTAAGATGTATTTTGTGTTTTTAAATTATTATGTATATTATGTTTTAATATGGCTAGGTTTTGCTTTGCCTCTGTAAGCTGCCCTGAGCCCATTGGGGAGGGCGGGGTATAAATGTGAAAAATAAATAAATAAATAAATATAAGGTGCAATTGATGGAAGTGGGGTCAAACTCTCCAAAAGCTTATAGTGGAACGGAAGAAAAAGCGCTTCATCTTAAAGCGATGCTGCTGAAAGAAGATCTGATTCAGGGGAACTGTTGATGCTTGGGGAAAGCTTATGCTGGGGTGGAATAATCTGGTAGTCTTTAAGGTGCCCCAAGACTCGCGCTGGGTGTTTGTGCCGGATGAACATGGCTGGCCCTCTAGGAACTGTTTCCCAAGGGATAGCTCTGTTAATGTGTCCCAGCAGCACTCAGAAGGAATTCTGGGGCAACTTAAAAGCCTAAGGAAAGTTTATTTCTGCATGCACTAGAAGCCGCTTCTTCAGGCCAAGGATTCCTGAGGGTTGTGCCCCCATCTCCCCCTCATGGCTGTTTTCAGCAAAAGGGCTCAGTTTTTGGATTGCGTCCTGTGAGGGAACTGTTGCCTGCCTACTCGCAAGCTGGATCTTATACCTGGGAAGGGTTTCGGGGCAGCTCTGAGCCACAGAAGCCCTCGGTGATAAAGAAAGGGGGAGGAAGGGTTTTCTAGCGCCTTTAGTGACTAACCTTTACCATGGAGCACGTAGTGGGGAGACCTGTGTTGTCTTAAAGGAGTTCCGCCTTGGTGAGTCTTCAGAGAGGCTGGCGGTGAGGGGGCTGGTCTGGTCGTGGGAAATTTTAAAAGGAGTTAAAACGATTCAGGGGGGCAGGGCTTGAAACCAAGGCTGGGGCTGAGCTTGTGGTTAAGGATGCTTTGGAAGATGCTTGGGGAAACCATTTGCCACTTAAGGCTACTAATGAGCTAAAGCAGTCTCCCCACCCCGCACCCCTGACACCTCAAGTCACTTTGTCTTCCTCTTGCATGCAGCGTCAACTTGAAAGTGAATTCTAAAGGAGTTTTCAGACATAAGGTTAAAACAGATATGAGTCCGGTAGTACCGTAGAGACCAACAAAATTTGGGGGGTATAAGAGAAGAAGAAGAAGAGGACGGATTTATACCCCGTCCTTCACTACCCACAGGAGTCTCAGAGCAGCTTACAAACTCCTTTCCCTTCCCCTCCCCACAACAGACACCCTGTGAGGTAGGTGGGGCTGAGAGAGCTCTTGCCAGAAACTGCTCTTTTTCAAGAACAGCTCTTATCAGAACTATGGCTTGCCCAAGGTCACCCAGCAGGTGGAAGTGGAGGAGTGGGGAATCAAACCTGGTTCTCCCAGATTAGAGTCTGCACACTGAACCACTACACCAAACTAGCTTTTGGGAGTCAAAGCTCTCTTCATCTCAGGTATCTCCGAGACCTTTTTGAAGTTCAGGAGCACCTCAGAGACTAAGCTAACTCTTTTACTGCAGACCAAGATAGCTACCAGGTTTGCCAACTCCAGGTTGGTAAATAACTGGAGATGTTGGGGGTGGAGCCTGAGGAGCGTGAGGTTTCATAAGAACATAAGAGATGCCAATGTTGGATCAGGCCAAAGGCCCATAAGAACATGACAGACGCCAATGTTGGATCAGGCCAAAGGCCCATCCAGTCCAACACTCTGTATCACACAGTGGCCAAAAATACCAGATGCCATCAGGAGGTCCACCAGTGGGGCCAGGACATTAGAAGCCCTCCCACTGTTGCCCCCCCAAGCACCAAGAAGACAGAGCATCACTTGCCCCAGAGCCCCTATCTATACCTTGTGGCTAATAGCCACTGATGGACCTCTGCTCCATTCGCCTATCTAATTCCCTTTTGAAGCCGTCCATGCTTGTAGCTGCCACCACCTCCTGTGGCAGTGAATTCCATGGGTTCATCACTCTTTGGGTGAAGAAGTACTTCCTTTTATCCGTTCTAACCCGACCGCTCAGCCATTTCATGGAGTGCCCACGAGTTCTTGTATTGTGAGAAAGGGAGAAAAGTACCTCTTTCTCTACCTGTTCTTTCCCATGCATAATCTTGTAAACCTCAATCATGTCACCCCTCAGTCGTCTTTTCTCCAAGCTAAAGAGCCCCAAGCGCTTTAACCTTTCCTCATAGGGAAAGTGTTCCAACCCTTTTATCATTCGAGTGCCATCCAGTCCAACACTCTGTGTCACACAGTGGCCAGAAATACCAGGTGCCATCAGGAGGTCCACCAGTGGGGCC